CCCCCCTCCAACTCCTTCCCAGCCCCTCAAGCTCCCCACCGCCCGTCGCGCTGGCCTCGCGAAGCCCCCGGCGCAGCCTCACAAGTAGTGGTGCTCGCGGGGCCCCCGGCGGGGTAGGCCAGCCCGGCCCCCACGGCGGCCCAGCGGGTCTGCCTATCGCCCCGCCCGCAGGCGCCCTCTGATGAACATGCGAAGAAATGAAGGAGCCATTCGGAAGAAGTATGGCTGGGTGGCCCGAGCAATGAGTCCATCCATTACTGTTCCGGCCAGTAGAACGGATGACATTTTCTTTTATGTTATTCGAATCTTTGTTGTGGTCGCTTTCCGATTTATCTCAATTTGTAACTCCGTCCGCCTCCTTTGGTCGTTACGACGCCACCAACTGCTATTTTTGTATAGCCCTCTCTTATATTTGTACCCCACTGTAAAAGATATATAGTCGAAAATTTACAACACATTTTGTGCTTTTGACATACAAAATATTTTGTAAATTTAAGACAAGCCCGTCCTTGTTCGCCAATGAATTAGAGAGCTTGTAATTTTAAAATTTTAAATTGTAATGTTACAACACAGCATGGAAACATTATCTGTAACCTGCACAAGTAACCGTTTTACTTTTATGATTTTTTTTCAAACGGACCAAGGAACGAACCTTGGGTTACTTGTTTTTCTTCAAGTCAACTCTGAAGTCAGGTAGTTCTGGTCGACTCACCTGAGTTCAGTGGTATCCTGAGGCCGCTCCATCGGCGACCTGGTCCCGCATCACCACGCCGAGAGTAACGTGAAGCAGCTGTCAACACGACATACACAAAATATTATAACCAACATAAAATACCGTACCCATTGTTCAAAAAAAAAGGATGATTTACGCTCGGCTTTACGTTCGAATGTTTTATGAGTCAATAGATATTACAAAGTTTTAGTACATAGACTCTTTTTCCAAGACGTATTTCTTGAGAGCTGCGTTTTCTTAATAGATTTTGACATTGGATGCAAAAATTAAACAGATTAACAAATTTATTTGTGCTTATATTTGACAAAGTCATGAAATCGTAATCTTTACAGCATCACTGAGTACGAA